TATTAGGCCCAACCATAGCTCTCCTGACACTATGCTCGAATTGCTAGAGCACAGGGGATGAATATCCTATTGGATCTGAAGCGTTTTCTTCGAAGTAAAAGATCTCTCGAATCAGATCTTTCTATAAATTAAACCATAGCTAAAAAGCGAATGTTTTTTAAACCACAGAGTTGATTAATTCATAAAGAGAGTTGACGAATTGCATATAACTTACACAGGTAGAAGTGAGCCTAACAGAGTCTTGCATGAACCTTCATTGACTAGGCTCCAGCCTCATATGCCAAGCGCCCTTAACTTTCGTGACTTCGGTTTTAGTCGTCCGATCTTAAAAACCTCCAATTCTATGACGTGTATGTGTGTCCAATCTGAATAATGTCTGGGCTCTCTTAAATCCTTCCAGACCCATTGAGGACAGCTTGAAATTGGCTACGATATCCTAATTGGAGATGCAATTGGGGTCAAATGTCTCTAAATCAGGCTGAAGCTCCATGACCAGTCCGGCAGAAAGTTTACTTCGTCACTATTGGTGCTACTGGCTCTTTGGATAAGCTATTGTCCGCGGGCTCTTCAGGGTAAGAATTATAAAGCTCTGAAGGTGCAGTATAGTAAAGATCAGGGGAAGAAAATATATGACCACTTCGTGGCCACCAGTTATGATGAGGTCCGGCAGAATTTAGGGATAGAGGTTACCGGGTTCGATTTTAGACCCAACTGTTACAGGAACTTGGTAACTTCTTAGCAAACTACCTCCTAAATCCCCCTAGCTCCACGCTATAATTTAGCGTGTGCATCGTAGGCGCTGGGCACCTGAACCTTATTATCGCATCGCCCCCTAGAACTATCTACTACGTATTATCACCAACAGACCCAGTGATTCGGGCGCTGTGGATCAGGTCCACCACCATGCAATCCGTTGCCGCCATGGGTTCGCCAACGGATCCATCTGGATTGCAAGAGCACCGGACCTGTAGGATGAACAAAGGAGGCTCTGTCTGACGAGAGGGCTCTCGTCCTTTGCAGGGTCTTAATCTGTCAGCCACGTTCCTGTGACGATGTGCTCACAATGATTTGTGTTAGAACGGATTACATATGTACACCGCCATATACGATATTTCTTGATTTCGACGAAGATAAGCCAGTCTCCCAACTATAAATGACTCAGCCGCATCTTTCAGCTGTCGAGGAGCCTCTTTGTGAGCAATCAGGTCATCTATGACAAGAAACACCAGCCGACAAGTTTTAGTATCTCTATGTCGCTCGGAGAGGGGACCGATGACCACGAGCCTATGTACTGCATTGATATCAAAGTCGCCGATACCGATTCGAGATCCTTGCCCTTGATAAGTGGCTTCGTGGAGCGAATGAGTGAGGGGTGGAGGCTAGACTAGATTACAATTTTCGACATTTCCACACGCTTAGCTTTCTCAACAACGGAGGCTCTGGACTCAAATATTCAACCTTGACACCCAACACGAACAGCGAGTAAATGGATATCAACACCCCTGGCTGACCTGCATCAACATCTCCATGGGACGGGAAGTGATTGCCGCGCCCCGGAATAGTCCGCTCTAAACAACGGCCCTGCCGCTTGGCCTGGGTATAAAGAGATCGCTGCTCCCGGATACCCTCGGTTGTCTCTTCATTTCTGTCCTCTACTCCTCCTTCCCTCCCCCTCTTTCGCTTCCCTTGCTCGCTTCCCTCCCAGCTGGCCTCCCCTTCTGGCTTGCTGCGCCGCCGCCTCCGGCCCCGGCAGCGCCAGGCGTTGACCGGCTTCCCGCCTCCAACCGACCCTTCCCCTCCCACTTTCGTGCTCTCATTCCACGCTTCCTCGACCGGTTGATCCAACCGTTGGCCTGGGCGTGGACGGCGATATGATGCACAGTCCGCTCTACCAAAATTGGTGGCTGGCGGTTCATGCGGCGGCGCCCCGTTGACATCCTGCCTTCCGCATCTCACCTCTTTACCGGCCCCTCGACCAACGCCTCCCTTGTCTGAGGCACCGGCAAAACCGTAGTGGGATCCCGCGTCGCCGCCTGCTTTGAAGTAATACGATAGATTTATATGAGAGTAATCGATACCAGTGCAGTCAGCATAGCTAAATAGGGGTGTCGTTCATGAATCATATTCGCGACCTCTTCCTTCCTCGATTCGCTTTCTGCCTTTTTTGAGAGCCGGGTAGTGAGTTGCGATCATGGATCCTCGTGATCCGCTCTTCCAAGGGCATCCCTGATGGCGAACAGGGCCTCTTTCTTTTCTTCGAGGCCCTCTGGCTTTCTCGATCGACCAATAGGAATAGCTCTTCTGCAGAGGGACTTGAAGTATCACAGAAGAGATCTTTGATCCTTCTACCAATCGGGAGTCTCTCGCCGAGCAACTTGTCCCATCTCCTAATACCGTTCAGGTCGGCCCCAAAAAGAATGTACAGCTTGCAGATGTCGATCCACACGCTGTCGAGGTGTGATTTCTGTGTTCTAAGCGTTTCCAGATGATTCAACAGATTCAACCATGGTGTGCTGCCGCCTCTCTTCTCGTTCGGGTCGAGTCCAAGTTCGAGTAGCATCTTTACCATTGAGGGTACTGGCCGGTTGTCACAACTTCCATTAAGACCCAGTAACCTCCTTATGTGCTTGCGGGTGCCCTTCCTCCCATCGGAAGAGGGAGAGTAGGCTTTTTCGGTTTTGTCTTCCAAACTTAAGCTCAGCCCGGTAGCAATATCAAGGAACGAAGATGCAGAATCCGATTGCAGAAATTGAATGTCGCTAAATTTCCGCCTTACATAATGTGTAAGACCTTGAAGAATGGCGTATTGTACAAATGTGATCGACAAACAAGTGCAAGTCTGTTGGCAGAATTCTGCATGCATCCCGCGATCGTCAGTGAACCAGGGAAGGGACCTCCCAGGTGGTAACAAGTCCGTTGCGACTTTGTGGATCTCATCCACCAGATCCACATGAGCGTGGCCGGTACTCAGCTCTGCTTTGCAAGTGAATTGAATAGCTCTATCGAGCAAATTCCATATGTAAAATCCCCACCCGTAGTAACAGGCCGACGTTTTGACTCGTAATAATAAGCTGCGCGCACATGCGAGGTTGGCGTCGAACTCAGTTCTAGCTGTCCAGCCCATGAGGTCGCCCCATATGTCCGGCTTCTCCAGATAGTCACGGAGGGACAGGTGAAGATACCGGACTTCATCCCACCGGAAAGGTGTGTCTGGATTTGCAGGTGCTTTTTCGCAAGCCTTAAATTTATGGACCTCCAGGAGGCCCTGACATCGACTTTGCACACGATATGAAATTGCTTCGATCCGAGTATCGACTTGTTGTAGACTCAGCGGCCCAATAGGCAATTTGAGTGCAAAGGCGCTGTCTGGGTCATCGGCATAGGAGAGTGCAAGACTTGACATCATGTCTTTATGCTGATACGCAATTTGCAATAATTGAGAAGCTTGACCTCTGTAAAAGGGCGGATTTATGCTTCGTAGCATCGCTCTGTAAAGAGCGTCAAGCTCTGGAGGAAGAGCCTCTAATCTCCTCGCCAGGTCGTCGATGGAGTCATGATTCGTGAGGCCTGTCAGCAGGGACTTCACGATGAGATAGACCCACAGAAAGACCCCTGAGGACTTGGCGGCAACCTCTCCAATAAACGAATATGCCTGATTCGGCGAGGTCGTTGCAAGAGCTTCAAAGTGTCTGTGGCAATTTAGCTTATCCGTGATATATGTGCGGATATCCCTTGCAGTGAGGTCTTGAAGCCGCAGATGTTTACATCCTTTGAAGCTGTATTCAAATGGCATCAACGGCCTGCTGGAAACACAGATCTTGATGTTGGAATCGTGAAGTGTCGCGTAGTGATTGAAAATTTCCGTAATCTCGCCATGATCGCCATCAAATTCATCCAAGCCGTCGATGAAGATCACTACCTTTCCATCTCGCATGAGATGACACATCATAGCATCAAAGGTAGAGCTGAGATCCGCGAAAGTCCACCGATACTGGTTAAGAGCGGAGCTCGTCTCCAACGAGTGGTGGGTTATATGGTCCATATCCGAGACATGCCTCCATAGCTCCGGTAGTACTGTGGGTATGAGATCGGGACGCTTTCCGAGAAGCTGCCGTAGCAGCGACATTAAAAGGCCAGATTGAGATTTCTGGAGCGGTGTTCCAAGACTCCAGAAGAAGAAGTCCACCCGGATCAAAGGAAGCCTACCACTCCACTGTCAGAGTCGTGCTTCCACTTCTGGCTGCTGAAGGAGGAATTTCATGAGGGTGGACTTCCCGCTCGCCGCCTTGCCCTTGATCTAATATATACAGTCAGGATTAGTGAGCCACTCCGTGAAATCATCCCACACTACATCAGGATCGTCAACTAAGCCGTCCAGAATCCATCTGAAAGTTTTTGCGTGCGCTTCTGGGATAGACTGTCGCCGGACTTCCATTTGCTCGTATTCAAGAGTCTTGAGAATGGTTTTCTCGATGTCTCTGTCGCCTTTGGAGCACAGTACGGACCGCAGCGTTCTCTCCGGTCCGCCTAGAGCGAAGTTCAGGGGCATGTGAGTATCGATCTCGATACAGCGGTCGCGGCCACCAGCAAATTTGCTCGATAAGTTGTCAATTTTGGCCGACACAGATTTGAAGCTGACGCCAAAGTCTTCCAGCATTTTTCTTATGTTCCGAGAACAGGCAATCTGCGCTTTGAGATCATCTGCAGCTTGGTTGATTCTCGTACTAGAGAATACGTTAGCCGGTCCAAGGCTGAAATCTTTAGAAAGCAGATGACGCACCTTAAGGATGATAAAACACGACCTTGAAATTGAGCACGATACATGGACAATCGATTAGCCATGTCGTCAACTTCTCCCTTCGACGACACACTCTTGACAGCTTGTCTGAGGCTTTTCCATCGACGAAAGCGACCAAGAGCTTTTGCCTTGTTCAGGCACTCTAGAAGATTTCTTGCTAACTTGTTGGACGACTCGAGAAGTTTGACAAGATCAACATCATGACCACCTAGGTCGGCGGCGGCAGATGTAGTCACCAACGACTGTTCCATCTGCGTCTGAAGGAGCAGAAGATCTCTTGTCACAACCTCGAGGTCGTTGTGTTCTGAGAATGCACCATCAATGGCATGGTATATCTCTCGGCCTTTGGAGACTATTTTGAGGCCAAAGTCTAGGAAGTTGACGATGTTGCCCGCGAGACTGACTGCAGCGAGCGTCTCCATGACAAGATAGGCAGAAGCACCTGTTAGATGGATGTGCTTGTCATTGGGCGCAGGATTCCGTAGAAGTTAAGCGAAAGCCATTAGAACTCTTTGGACAGCGACAAGAGTGGAGAGTGATATCTTTCGACGGCAAAAACTGACCTTCTGGTACTTCTGGCAGATGAAAATTCCAATTTTGAGGGTTATACAGAGTGAATCTAGAGGCAGCAACTGGTAAGAGACTCAGCCACCGCCGAGTCTGCCTCGCTCAAAGGACGAGGCACCTGTAACTATGTGGCGCAGCATGTTGAAATCCAGAGACGACCAATACGAGTATGGATTACTCGAGCTATGTCACAGTAATTCAATAGCAAGCTGCTAACGATAGTCCCGGTGCAGTCGAAACATCTACAGCCAGACGAAGCGTTTCCATCTGAGGCAGTACCACGTTCCCAACGTCAAGTCCAACCTCATGCTGTTGTTCACGCGGATTCAAGTCATGTAATCAAATCTTGGCATAATCTTGGCATACTGTATGATCGCTTTTGGACTCGCTGACGTCATGGGGTCCCGTATTCTTACTACGCACTTTTCGTAATCTTACTACCGTAGTAAGATTAGAGCCAACCTTATTCTTACTACGTCCCAATTAGGACATAGGGCTTCCAAATATAGTAATAGGGTTTCTCTTTTAGGTTTAGTAAGCAACCTAGTCAGTAACTCAGATCATATAACGCCAAGCCTGCGCCTGTGTTACTGCCTAGAACAGGCAGGTGGCCTCTGAAGGACCTCCCAAGGCTAGCCTGTAGGATCCTCACCCTACCGTCTTCAGAAACTGTTAACTCGCTAACGTGTGCACCATAAGACCCCATTGAGACCCGAGAAGCTATCCACGCCCGGATCCACACGTCTGGCGGCCGCTTAAAAAGCGAACTCGCATCTGACTTCTAGGACTCTTTAAAGGGCATCTACTTAACGGATATCCTAGTCTACTCGGATAGTTTGAAAGACTAATAAATAGGTGCTATAGATGCAGGATATGTGGTATATCAAACTAATAGACAGCTTTGTAAAGAGTGCTTCTCTCTAGGAACAATAGCGGAAGTCTTTAATACAAAAGTAGTAGCAGCCCTCGCCAGGCTGAAATCAGTGCTCTCTAGTAGCCAGACTCACTGTGCTTAGAATATATAGATCTTTCTTAATAACCTAGAGGTGGCAATACTTCTCTTAAGCAAATAAAAAAGATCCTCTTTGTCATTAGAGGTGGCAATACTTCTCTTAAGCAAATAAAAAAGATCCTCTTTGTCATAAGGTAGAACCTATAGAGACCTGGGCCATAGCCTCAGGTCAACACGTGATGCCTTAGTGCGGCGTCACGTAATAGTAGGCATGTCACTAGAAATGTCCTCAGGGGCTAGGGGCACGGCTCAGGAGGAAGGATAGAGGCACAGCTCAGGAGGAAGGATAAGGGCACAGCTTAAGAGGAAAGATAAAGGCATAAAGACAGGTACAAATAATCTGTACTTCCCTTTATATTATGGAACTCTTAAGTTTTGTCTCCTTGTTTATAGATAGCTAATTAAGAGCTTTTGCCTTTATTTATAATCTCTTATACTTTTAAGCTATATTTAAAATGTTTTATATAATAATAACTACCTAGCCGCTTTGCTACTGCCTATTATATATTCTGCCTAATATAATAAATATCTACTAGGTCTTAGGCTATATAAAGATCTTAGATAATAAGGCAGCTAACAAAGCGGCTAGGAAAGAGGCAGAATAAGACAGCATTTAAATATAGATTTTGTAAATTTATGCTACGTACAGGTTTGTCTTCCTGTCTCTTATCAGTAGAATCTTTGAATGTGACTGAATCCCAATACTACACTACATTTGGCAGAATTTGGCTGTATAATACATTGTGTTCTTCCGTTGTTGAGCATTGAATCGGGGCGGTGTCCTAGCGCCCGATTTGAGCGTAGTAAGAATAGTGCGCGCCTATTCTTACTACCCTATACTCTATTTCTAATTGGGACGTAGTAAGAATAGGGTGGGGTGTTATTATTACTACGGTAGTAAGATTACGAAAAGTGCGTAGTAAGAATACGGGACCCCCATGGGCGATTCGCCAATTCAATTTCTTGGCGGACTATCGATGAAGGCCAGACGGCCAATTCAACTTTCGACTGCGGAACAGATTAACAAGATAAGTTTTGAGTTAGAACAGGACAGAGGTTACGCAACTTCAGAGCTTATCAATTGAAAGCCAGATCTCATCCTAAGAACTAATCGGCCCATTCAACACGATTCAACCTTGTCACACCAAATACCGAAACGCCCAAGCAAAGACATGCTATTTCCTTGACAGCTGCTGTCATACATCGGTGGTCTCCTTCAGTCCCTGATCGCAAGCTTTTTCTTCATCCCATTCTCGGTGGTCTCCTCTAGACCCTGATTACTAATTTCTACATCATGATTTCTAGCGGTTTGTCTCCAATTGCAGCTTCATGGGAGCACTTCCAATCAAGGTCGGATAATGTTCTTGCCAATTTACAAATCGTCTCTGAAGCAATCACTTATCAGCCGGACTTGGGCTCGGCGCTACCTAAGATGATCGAGGACTTCACGGACAAGATGCCGCAGATCAGGAGCCTCATCGAAAACTCTACCGAGGCCGGTTCAGAGCAGGATTGGTTACTAAAAGTGGCAGAAGAGCAGAAGAAAGCTCTCAGCAATGGTGATAAACGTCTTCAGGATCAGCGTGAGAGGCTGCAGGACGTTGAACGAGAACTTCTTGACATGAAGAATTCTTTACAAGAGGTCAAAGTTCAAAAGGAGAAGCTTGACGCAGAGATGTCGACTTTGCGCACTATAATAGCGGACTACCGAAAAACCAAGCAGGATTTGGAAACAGAGAATATGCAGACCGCAAGTTACAGCGCAGCGGAACGCAAGCGCTTAGAGAAAGAGCTTCATGATTTGAGGAACACAACAACCACGGAGCTGCAGCAGTTGCGCGACACTACGAATGAGGAGCTTTGTCAACTGCGAACAGTGACCGAAGTTGAGCTTCGTGGGTTGAGAGAGACTGCGGCCAACGATATCAATCAATTGAGGGAAGCAGCTGACAGAGAAATTGCAGATCAGAAGGTGGAGTCTGACACTCGCATGCAAGTACTTGATACTTGTGAAAAGAACTATGAAATAATCCGACAAGATCTTCAAAATAGGGAGCGAGAGCCGCAAAGAAAGAACGAGTCGGAATTGAAGAGGTTGCAAGAAGAAATCCGGACCGAAAAAGAGCAGCTGACCAAGGGATTGCTTCAACCAAAGAGAGCCTTTAGAAGCGGGAAGACGAAATGACCAAAAATGAAGAGACACTACAGAAAAGGTTGATTCGCTGGATAAGCCGAAACGGAATGTCCCGCAGGAAAAAGCTATGATGGAGAGATGGCCAGATGCCATTATGGTCTGTGAGCACCGGCTCAGGTATGCAGCAACACAGATGATCGGCGGAAATCAGGTCGCTGGCTCAGCAGAGTTCTTCGCAATGTTGAGCCAGTCATGCGATCGAATGGTAAGCAAGTTGACCATGGCAGAGACGATCGCCGACAACGCCGGAACGTAGGACGAATGATCTAGCAAATGAATTGAAGAGAGAGGCAAGATAACGCTGGTCATTGGGAGTACGTGTCTCACTCAAAGGAGGAGACTGCTGCCCTCAGAAAGAAAATTACCCACCTCAACAAGGAGATTGGCCGTCTCAAGGAGTGTGAAGCTCACGTCCAGCGACTTTCACAGGAGAAAAACAACGCTGAATCTGACGAAGAGCAGGTCGAACACGAAAAACTAACCATCAAAGGGGAGGTTTTCACATTGACAGGTGAAACAGCGGCGTTGAGAGGCGAGCTACACAAGCTCCAGGATGTAAGCAGTAAGGAGATTTCTGCTCTAAAACATTACCTCCCACATGCAAACAGACAACTTGAGCACGCGCTAGACTCGTCAAGGAAAATGTCAAACTCCTGACAGCATCTCGCACCCAAACCGACCGTTTGCATAGGCTGTACGTTACCGAAAGTCAAACGGTAACCATGCTCGAATCTGAACTCTGAAGAGGCTAAGCACGAGCTCGAAAAGTCGATGTCGTCAAATCTCGCTCTTCAAAAGGACATCCGAGACCAACAAAACAAACCTCCGAAATTGTGAGAAAGAAGCTGGGAGTTTCGCGTAATGCAGTAGCATGTTCAAGAAGCCCTTGACGCGTGAAAGCTGGAGCTGAATCGCATGAGAAAGGACTTGAGCGACTCGAGAACTGATCATGCCGAAGTGCTTCGGAGAGTGACGGCCAGCACGACTGTCAAAGACGCGGAGATAACTCGATTGAGACGAGATTTAGAGACCGAAAAGAGCGGAAATTGCACAGATTCGTTACACGAGGAGCTCCATCGGACCTTGGGCTTCCTCGACAATGAGAAAGCTAACGACTTCATTCACCTTCACCGAGAAATACGACGTTTACGGGCACAACTCACTTCCGAGAAGAAAGCGAATAGGAAGTCTTTGGAAAAAGATTTGGCAGTTCTCCAAAACGAGCTTAAGTTTGGTGCAGATAGATATCGTACTAACGACCTTGCCCAACAAGTCGCACAACTTCAGTTAGATCTTGGAAAAGAGAGCGTTGCCAATCGAGCCTGGCGCGAACAGTACCATGAACATGAACTGAGAGCAGAAAGGCATCCAGGAAGGTAGAGACTTTAGAGAATCAGCTAACTACACTTAGGAACCAACTCGAGACTCAGACCAGAAACGACCACACAGTTGCCTTAAGCCAGCAGGTAGATCCACTGCGGACTGATCTCGAGGATAGAACTGCAGCTGATCGAGAACTTCGCACACAGCAAGTAGAATGTGAACGAACTGCACAGGCAACAGCGAGTCAATATCAAAGCCTCCAGAGTGAGTTTGACAGCCTTAGAGCTCAGTTTGAAAACCACGTGAAGACTAACAAGGCTACATCTCTTCGCCAACAGATCGAGAAGCTCCAGGGACCTAACGAAGGTGACCAGCGCCAATGAAGAATTGCGCAACCAACTTCAAATGTCGAAAACCACACAAAATGAGATGGGCGGCATTCCTGGTAATGCAAGAACAACAGTAGGAAATGATAGCATGGTAAGCGAAGATGTAAACCAGCGAAGTGATTCAGATTCCACATGTCAATCGAATCTATCGTCACGAGCCCTTCCACAAATATATAGGTGTCAACATTCAAGGCGAAGGGCCACGCCGAACTCGGACAAGTCTACGCAAGAGCAGCCCATCTCTTAGGCAACGGATTAGTGAGAAATCTCCCCAGCGGAAGCCGATCAAGAGAGCAACCAAGGCAGTAGCAAACGAAATGTCGGAAACGTGGCAGAGATTTGTTGGACATCACACCGCCCAATGCTTTAGGCAAGTTAATCTATGACAGCTCGTATTTCTCCGGAAGCTTCCTGAAGAACACGATTCCATTGATATGATGATGATGAGCCGAAAATGGCTAGCTAAAGCAAGGGAGACACAAGGAAACTCTTGGTAAGCACAGAGCTCAGGCTACCACTGCATCAAGATGTCTCCGCCAGAGTAGTTAAAGGCAGCCTGCGCCCCTGTACTGAGTATTGACAACTGCTTTGCTGATCTTGGCCAAGTAAAGGGAGGTGATTGCGGTTCAAAGTACGATGTATTGCTGCTAGGGGCAAGTAGCGTCTGGCGTTTCTTGTTCGAGTCCTACCGGATGCCACTTCTATGTTTCTCATGGAGCTGCTTTCAAATGTTGACTGCATCTCTCTCTTGAGCGGAGAACGGATATACGTACATAAGGTTAAACTGCGTGCTGAAAGTCCACAATAAATTAACGCATTTCATATGACCCTAACCATAAATAGATCAAAGAAAACCTTAGACCAGTCTAGTGTGCTTGGATACATGCGGAAAGACCCTACTAGGGAGACTGGCTTTGTATTACATCTAGGTGTGGATCAATGGAGGCTTGCGTGAATTGAGTGTAGAGTGATGTACTTACTGTGCGTTGCATAATTGTTGCGAATTCCTTGGCGCTACCCTCGAATTGCTGGTGCCGCGGGGCAGGATTGCGGTCAGATGTAGGTATAGCTTCCTACGTATAGAGACGTGTAGAAATTGCTTGAAATTGCTTATAAACCTTGCTGACATTAGTACCTTGTCCTATCTTAACGGCTGGCCTTTAATATTGAGTTTTGTAAAAAGTAAATTATGCCTTTAGAGTCAACTGTAATGAAATAGATGAAATACCTATAGAAAGGAGGATAATAAGGAGGAGGATATTAAGGAGGAGGAGGATAGCAAGGAGGAGGATAGTAAGGAGGAGGATATCAGAAGGATATTCTTCTACTCTATATCCTCTATATCCTTCATATCCTCCTTCATAACCTCTACATCCTCCTCCTTGCTATCCTCCTCCTCCTTGATATCCTCCTCCTCCTTGATATCCTCCTCCTTGATATCCTCCTTTCTATTTGCGTTATAATAGCGCTATAAAACTCTCCCTACGTTTGAACGCTTCTCACAATTCAACATTATAGTTTTTATTTCGAAATTTCGGCAGCAAAATTATAAGGAAGTTGTTGACCTTCTGAGAGGGCTAATTGGCCGCGTTTAATATGCGTAATCCCTGCGTTTCTGCTGCTTCTAATTGGTCAATTTCCGACGCAATTTCGCTTCTAATTTCGCTGTACGTTACAGCCAATTGTACATAGATCTACGCTCTCTACCCCCGTAGCTATCAATCAACTTGCTTCTCTACGCACTCTGCACAGCAGGTTGACAGAAGTCTATTTTGCTATCCACCAATTTTGGGCATTCTACTACGATAATTATGTGGTAAATGGCCATCCTTTGCCCTCACCGTAATTCTGCACTGTGGCGCCAGCAATTCGAAGGTACGGCAAAGGATTCGCAACAATTATGCAACGCGCAGTAATAGTTCAGTCTCTCTGCTCGGTTAGTGGTGCCATCCATAAGTGCTCTTGGGTCCATGTTTCCGGCAAAGCTGCTGCCTGGGAGTACTTCCTCCTACGTTTTTAATATAGAGTCATTACCGCGAAATCGAATTTATTGAAGAGGAACACAACTTCGTGGATCAAGGGTGAAATTTGTTTGTCATAGAGTATAAGGAACTGGAAGGTCGATTATGCCAAGCTCGGCTAACAAAATTGCTTAAAATATATTTCAAACATTTGGAAAAAGTCTTCAATCAGCCTCTATGGCGCAGTGGTAACGCGTAAGTACGAAATAATCTGTCAACCATCTAAACTCACTAATTTAGGTCGCACTTGTACTACTGGCACATACGTTGTTCCTGAATTTATCATTAATGCGAAGATCTTCAGTTCAATTCTGAATGGAGGCAAGGTTTTTTTTTTTTTGTAAAACTTTATATAAATTTATCCTTCTAAAGTGAATAAGTTATTATTTATTATAAAACAAAATATTTGTAAACTTACAATTATAATAGATGATATCTACTAATAAATAGTACTGCTATTGTGATAGATGAAGTATTTCCTCTGCCATAGCGCAGGAAATACACGTGACTAGCCAAGCACTTGGATGGCAGCGCCGATGGCGTATCCACAACAGCACGCGGAACTCTTGCCGTCAAGCTACTATGCCGCCGATAGAGGCATCCGTACGGCACGTCGCTCCCCGTACGGCACGTCGCTCCCCGTACGGCACGTCGCTCCCCGTACGGCACGTCGCTCCCCGTACGGCACGTCGCTCCCCGTACGGCACGTCGCTCCCCGTACGGCACGTCGCTCCCCGTACGGCACGTCGCTCCCCGTACGGCACGTCGCTCCCCGTACGGCACGTCGCTCCCCGTACGGCACGTCGCTCCTCAGCCCTAATGCCCCTTTGGGCCATAGGCCAATTCGTGTCGTAGCAGTCTATTTAGGGTTACAAAAGATATTAAGAATTATTATAGCTGCAATAGCTCAAAACTAGAACAAGTTAATAGTCTATAGATTGCTAAAACGTAAGCTGAGGAGTCTATCTGTTACGCGGAAGGCCGTGCAACAGGGTAGGGAGTGCTATAGAAGCAGGAGAGTCACGAAGAAGCTATGGAGGGCAACTGTATGACTGTGTCGATTGGTATGGTGAAGGCTGACTATCTAAGTGCTATCGAGGCGAGGATAGAGGTATGACGCGCAGGGCGCCAAGCCTGCCCTAGCCCTCAGCCCTAAGACCGGATGCGGCATAGCACTGGTGGAGCATTTGGTGCGCAGCCAATGCTTGGCCAATGCCATGCCCTGCCCTAACGCCTCTCTAGGCCATAGGGCATTTTGTGCCGTCACACTATCTACAGCGCAGCCAGCGCTCCGATCCATGTACTCCTCCATCAAGTGCCAGGGGTGCTACTAGCTGACCTACACAGAGGACCCAACAGAGCATCTGCAGGGCCAGACGCAGTAGCTTCCCTCTTAAGGAGATTACACGTCCCTAAAGGGGCTATACTAATCTGTTATTCCATGGTTCCTGCTCAGGGAGCAACGTGCCGTATAAATGCTTCTATCGGCGGCATAGTAGCGTAACGGCAAGAGTTCCGTGTGCCGTCGTAGATACGCCATCGGCGCTGCCATCCAAGTGCTTGGCTAGTCACGTGTATTTCCTGCGCTATGGCAGAGGAAATACTTCATCTATCACACTACCCCCCTCTCTGAAAAATCGATTACCCTTAATTAAGAGCATGAGAAAGTAAGCTTACCCCTCCTAAATTTCGGTGCTAAGCCTAGCAACTTCCTAATTAGGTTAGTCTAAAATTTAGCTATACATGTATAGCTAAATTTATCACGTGATGTTTCTGTTAGATTTTCCTGTACTTAGCTTTAATTCAACTAATCAGGCGCTCTTTTCATTAGGTGCCTTTTAAAATAGTCTCTAAGCAGGTCCTTAGAGTCCTTGAAGTTCGTGATAAGGTAGTAGGTCAGGTCCTCTAGCTAACCTACTTATTTGGCTTACACCTTTAAGGCCTTGCTTACTTGCTTAATGTTAATTATGTTCTTAATCTCCTACATCTTCTCTTCTTCTGTTTCTACTAGTAAAGGCTATAGATATTCTTAGTCTAGTAAGGGGTTAGCAAGGTCTTTAGTAAGCAGCAATATATAGAACATATTATAAATCTATATTAATAAAAGCAGCTTTAAATAAAAGCTTTACCTAAGTCTCTTTATAACAAAGAATAGTCTAATCTATTTTAAATCTAGCTTCTTATAAGGTCTTGTTATACTAATATTCTTTATTAATAGCTAGACCTTATCTTCTTTTTTAAAATTAATTTTCTAATAATACTTGTTTACTTACTCTTACTATCTCTTTTATATAATCTTTAAGTACTTTTATATTTATTTTTAAACCTTTTTTATTAGTTTTATTAGATTCTTAATCTTTTTTAAGGCTATATATTTCTTTATTATCTTTATAAGCTTAAATTTATTAAAGCTTATTTTTAATTAATATTTATATATATTTATAGCCCTTAGTAAGCTTGTACTAAGCAGCTGTTAGTCATTTAGACAACTAGGATATAGATTTCTATCTTCTTGCGGTATCCGGTATAAGTAGTCGCTACAGCGATGAAATCAAACGAAATCCAGATGGCGGTGTGGGTGAACGTGTGCGCTACATATGCGAGTCGCCTGCGCGCATTGAACCAGGGGAATTAGCTTACGAAAACCATCTGACTCTTAAGTATCTGACTCGTACTTAGACCTGAAACTGACTCTATTATTAGTGGATGTGATATTATTTTATTTGAGAGATAGGACACCCTTATGCTTGTCCCTTCCTAAGATTACGTATTATATATATAAATATAATAACTTACTAATAAAAAAAGAGAAATCCTTTAATATAAATGAATAAATAAGTGTTTATTAACCCTTATTAAGGCCTATAGTCTTTAGTATAAATAAACTTATTAAGACCTAAGAGCTTTATTAAGATTGGAGTTATAAGCTACTCTTAGGAATTATAAGCGAATTATCTTATATAAATAATTATA